CCATGAGTTACTACGAGCTGTAGTATATATTCCCCTGTAAATAAAAGAGCCTGGACCAGACAATGCAGTGAGCATAAGTATCATTCTACGCAACTGGGATACAATGACATGTGTCAACCAAATCAGCGAACCTGACCACCTGAACCTGTTAGTCGCCTTTTACAACAAGCATGGGTTGCTGAAGACCAATTCTAATCCGATCTTCACGGGTCTGAGAACAAGGAACACCGAGTACAAGCACATACAATTCTGTCAGAAAGATAATTTTAATGAACACAATAAATAGTCGACAATGGTTCATATACAGAGACGCGACAGTTTTATATGGTCAACCCAAGATGACAAATCATTCATGAAATTCCAGGATTCAAACTTGTTGTCACCTCTAACACATCATGAGAATAACAAATATGCACAAACAATCAGAACACTAGAGCTTTATCAAAAGAATGAAAAAAGAAACACTATTCAATAATAGGACCCGAGAAATAAATTTTAAGAGTTATCTCCCATTTTCAATATTGCAGAAATAATGAATATTAACAAATTGAAATGACTTGAGATCAGTGCAAAAATGGTGTATTTGTTAATATGCCAATCTAATTTGGGATTAGCAACTTATCAAACAATGGAGAAAATTGAATAAGTTAAATACAGTCATGACAAATGGTCCCTTCCTGGGTGCTCAAGCAAAACAAATTATAAATTTTTTCTCCATGCCACAATACATCGAAGGGGAGATAATTCTTCAATATCCAACCACAAAATGTACACTCTTTACTTTATACACTCTGCAGACTGCACAAATCACAAAACCACCTAGATAAATCCAAGCTGAAATCTCTCTTGAAACAACTAAACATTTACACCAAGTTGCCATGGCAACCACATGACAATCTCAGCACATCCATGAAACGGTTTTGTGATCAGACTCACAATGCTCGTACTCCGATCAAATCAAAAGTCATCATGTACACAATATGTCTTTCATAAACTGATGAAATTCTAGTAAACAACAAAGTTTAAAATTTGAAGAGAGTAAACTTACAGTGTTTAACTACCACTTGTAAATTTGTCTTCACATATCAATCACTGATCTCAAACTTAAAAAAAAGAACTTTAGAAACCAAATTTAAAGTTATGGAACAAACATTCCTTCACAATGCATACACAGAAATTGGGGACAATCTTTAAGAAATCTATATATATTTCTCTTCTTATTCAACACTCACGATCAGTTCGTCATAATGTGCGAAGAACTGTCCGCGGATCATTTCTTAAAGACTGTCCAAACCATCTATACATATTCCAGGCCTCAAGTCTTGGCCAAAACTCCCTTACAAGTCATCATGAAAATTAAAGATATGGCTGACAAGTACAGAAACAATACAACAGCACATGTGCACCAGGAAGTATAAAGGTTTAACAACAGCATCTAATATTATGCTCTACTAACTTGATAAACCAGGATGCATCATAGCCAACACAAAACACGGAGGAAAATTACTACCAAAAAATATACAACCTTCCAAAAGACAAACTTCAGTTGTATCAAAAAACATGAAATATAATGTATGAAACAATAACTGCAGCTGATACAGTAGTCACATGGTGTAGTTCCAGTAAAAACGTATAAAGTTATTTCTCTGAAATATATATATCAAATCCCTAGCAATAGTTTCACATACAAAGCTTGTACTCAGTTCGATGTTGTATGTTGGTATACCCGGAGTTAGCTCCCTTGTAAATGATGTTTTAAGTCACAGTAGTATCCATATATGACCAGTCTGGCAATGCATTCACTGATGAAATTTTAATGATACATTTTTTTACAAACTGACCATATACTAATTGTATTTTGTAAAATAAATGTACGATTCGTGAATGAGTGAATTTTGTCGAATGCTGCATCAGCCGTTTTGCAGCTATTTGCCGCACGATTTAGATTTGAACTATACAATGGTTTGATGTTCTATTGAAACTACTTGCAAGACAGCATGCTTACAGCATTGTTTTTTCAAGCACACACATTCAGTTCTGAGCATTGGTATAAACAAATCTCAACATGCATATGGACAAGTGCAAACAATTACCACAGCAGCAACTGATTTTGTTCGTATCCCTATGATATGCTTATATATGTTCTCTCTCACTTGTTCTGAGCAAATGCCAAAAGTGGACTGAAAACAGCTAAAAAAATCAAAGTACTGATTAAAGACCCCTTGATTTGAAGGATGGAATAATCTCCTCTCTGATGTGGACTGTACCATTTTCAGCTGGAGGTAATAGGTATGTTAAACATGGCACATTGCAAGTGACTTCAGATGGTTGGCACTTGGCAGCAGATGGTAACTTGTTGTCCCGAGGTAGAAAACAGTTCAAGCTGTTGATAGAATAACAATGCATAGTCAGGTCTCGGAATAATTAACATACCTTAAGTGGCCTTCACACAGCAAACTAGAGTTTGTCAAAATCGAATTTGAGAGTGTGAACATTTCAACAACCCGCCACCAACACCAATTTCAGAGTTGTCAAACTGTTGTCGAGAAATAGGATCGGTCTCTATTCTCACCAACTTTTCCATCAAACTTTTGGTGTTGTCAAACTTGAATTTGCCATGTGAAATGTTGTCAAATTCTTGTTGTTCAGAAACAACCAATCGCAGTCAACTAAATCGTCAAGTGACCACACCGACAGAGACATGGTGTTCAAATGACACGAACGTTTGACAACGTGTTTGATGTGTGAAAACGGGAGTTTGAAAACTTTTAATTTTTTTACTTGTGTTGTCAAACTTTAGGATGCCGTGTGAAGGCCTCTTTAGAAGAGAAAATTCAACAACTTTCAGCCCTATACTAGCAATAAATAGTACATAACGTTCTGACGGTATGAAAGCAACTAAGCAATCACTTGCTCGTACTTTATCAAAATACTGATCCCGAGTCCAAACCCACAAAGTGTTGGTAGAGTTACGACCCTCGTAACTCTATACTTCACCACAGACTTACACATGGTAATGCTACAAACACTTTGTGGATACGGTCCCTGATCTCCAATTTGCATGCGATAACCTTGACAATTTGCATTATTCAACATTGCTCTTGTTACATAGGTTTCCTTATTCACAAATCTTAACAATGAAAACCCTGCCTTCTAGGACTTCTGCCATTTCAAACAGCATGTAAATGTGTGAAAATAACATTGTTGTAAACGTCTCCTGTGGCAGTGTGTGTTCGCTCCGTGTAGTTCTCAAGGGGCACTTTTGGCAACAGAGTATTCTTGTGATGGTATCAACAATGACGGATGGATGGGATGATCTACAGTCCGTTTGGCTCAAAAGCGGACCGATGAATTGCAATCTGACTCGAAAACTAATAAACATAAATACTCAATGAAAGGCTGATCAATCAAAACAGGGGCGGTGGGGTAGCCTAATGGTTAAAGCGTTGGCTCGTCACGCCGAAGACCCGGGTTCGAATCCCCACACAGGACAATGTGTGAAGCCCATTTCTGGTGTCCCCCCCTGTGATGTTGCTGGAATATTGCTGAAAGCGGCGTAAAACCAAACTCAGTCAGTCAATCAAAACATCATACCCACTTTGTGAGGTTTTTGCAGAATTTTTGTCCTAAAAATAATAATGTTGTTTAACAAACTATCATTAAAATATTGACACAGTTCACTATTTGTTACGAGGGAGGAGTGCAGAGAAAGGGACAGCCAGGTGTTCACAGACAAAGTTATTTATTCATTAACCTGTGCTGTGCTGTCTCCATCCGTTCTCGAACACCTGGCTGTCCCTTTCTCTGCACTCCTCTGAGTATTTTATGTTTATTAGTTTTCGAGTTAGATTGCAACTCATGGGTCCGCTTTTGAGCCAAACAGACTATGGTGTCATTTATTACTGGGAAGCTCGATATGAAAAGGTAATTCTGTAGGGTCGTGACCATGGTAACATACAAGATTTGGTGTCCTTGACCAAACAGGCTTCAACGTTTGCGTATGTTCAGAGGGATTTGCGACACCTGGTGCCAGTTAAGACATCGTGTCACAATAGAAATTGAGATCGGGTTTCATGTAATACATTATACACCTGCCTTAGAAATGACACCGGGTGTCATACAATGTTATGTCGTAGATGTGAGTGACACTGGTGTTGAACACCTGATTTCAGATCATTAGATCTGAGGTGTCCAGACTCGGATGTCAAGACTCGAGTGTCCAACACCTGCTTCTGAACAGAACGAGCATTAGGGCCTCATCTACCACAGACACCATCTTGTCACATGACCTCAGACACATGGCCTCGACACCAGACACCAGGGGTTGATAACTGGGTTCAGACAAAAACTGGACATGTAACACTCCCACAGCTTACAAAGTTCCACTTCAAAAACCCGACCAACGAAAGTCACGTAAAGACTGTCAGAGATTATATATCATTCAAAAATGAGCTATGGAACATTAATTCAAACAGTATTGTCCTGACAACTTACAATATCTCATTTTTCAAGATTGTTTCAAAGCCTTGAGGACATGACAGATCACTTAGTTATTCTTCAGGTTTCTCGCAGAAAAATAGTATTTTGGTTCACCAGAACATATTTCGTAAATGTCCAGTATGTAAAGACATGAACTTAGAAGAACATCCTTGGATTATTCTTCTGCTGTTGGTCAGCTTTGGTAATGGTGAACTAATCAAACAGTCGCCATATTGCACGTGAGGGTCACCAAAAATCACTAGTATATATAGTTATACAAAGACTACATTTTCAACCTGAGTTCAACTTTTCAGCTATTTTTGATATTTTCACTAATGTGCAGACTATAGGTGTTTGGCACTAAATTTTCTAGTCCTCTACAAAGTAAATTACAGTATAGATTCTAGGTATTAATAAACATAAATATCAAATAAAATGATTGTGTATACTTAGAACAAACATTAAAAGAGGTAACTGCAAAAATCACAAAATTTCAACACAAAAATTAGTCAAGTAAAGAATATGTTGTCAAGATGTATTTTCTAACATTTTCAATGAAAATAAATCTCTCCACGATATGAAATAATGACATGGGATTTCCATCATCAGACTTAAAGACAAACAGAAATGTTGAATTTTTCCCATTCACACTTTCCTTTTTACAGAAATTATGAAGATCATATCACAATTACATATTCTTCTGAAATAGCAATCAGTACCGTGCAGTACCATGTTTTCAGGGAACCATGGTACATTTTTATGTATATATGAACAAGAAATATTTTGCAGAAATATATTAGCCACTGAAAAAGTCAGCATATTAGAAATCTGGTCAAAGGGGAGAGAACTCAATAGATAGTTCTCTTCATGGCCACTAGGGGGTCATCTCACATATTCAACACACATACATCCACCATTTTATAAATCTGTAATAAGTCCCACTAATATACAACCTCCACACTGTAATGAAACGATACAGTGAGCAAAGTCTGCCATGTTGAAACTACATAAACTCCCCCTAGTGTTTGGTAAAGGGAGATAACTGCTGGTGTAGGAAGTCACCTAAGGTACACTTTCAGTTGAAACACAAATCAAGTGTACAAGAAGTCGTACAACTCCAGCCAATCGGTGATACCCCTGAATTGTCTTGAAAACCACCCAAGGAGTCCGAACAACATCAAGGTTCGAGCTGGCTTTTGTACAGGCAAAGTTACTTCTTAAAGTATCTTCACCTGTCACCATTGCTCATGGCTGCTGCGGAATGACCTTGATGCACAGATGCAGGCTGATGGGAAGTGACTTCCATGTATATTTGGACTAATGTTTTCAACCAGCTGAAACCATCCCCAGCAATGTTTTCCCTTGGCTTCCATTTTGTCCTGTGTCACGGGACCAACATCACGGATGCTCAGATCCAAAGCTTCGTATAATATATGCATCAATGTAAAACTGATAGAGGTGCATGTATACACAATTCTATTCCAATAGTCTACCAATGTGCCTCCAGATGAATATAACAACTTATAGAATGTCCCGAGCTGACCTAGGCAACATTTTCAGCTAAAGGTAGGACATACTTATATTGGAGATGTATACAGAGAAAACAAAGGTCTTCACATCTGAACCTTCAGTAGAGATACCCTCTCATGATTTCCATGAAGATATTGAGGGTACGTGTTATTGCAGTAGTACATTTGTTATTCTCTGTACAAATGCTTTTATGTTCTTTTTCATACATTTCAGGTTGGCTTGTCCTTAGACAAGCTTTACCTTCAGAACAGTTCCTCAGATTATGGATGATTGACGTTGAATTACACAAATTCCCCTCACTCAAACCATCAGTATAAATGCCTGTCAAATATCAGCAATATCCTTGAAAATTATCCCATGGGATCCTCTACAGAAACACTGTTCTGGGTCTCCTTGTGATTCATGATGCCAAGAATTTTAGCAGGTCTTGTGAGGGCTTGAGTTGGCAATGAAAGGTGTTGGGAGTCCAGTACGCTGGGCAGTGGCTGGTTGGAGCAGATTTGCATAGATGACACTTTGATCCCCTGGGTTTGACTGTGGCGATGTTGTTGTCCGACGTTGTTGTCAGACGTGGCTGCTGCTGCTGCTGCCTTGAGTTTGGCGTGTTCAGCTGGACACCAGAGATAATGATGGTGTTGGAGGGGCCTGAAAAGTAGAACACAAAGTGTTATCAACAAAAGACTCTTAGTTTCGTTGGGGGTTGTACATGAGGCATCTAAGTTGTTCAGCAATATGACAGAGTGAGTGAGAAAGTGTGCAGAAAAAGTTAGTGTGTGCATACATGCATGAGTGCATGCATCCGAAGTTAGTGATTGACTGAGTGAGTTGAGTTAAACATCACTTTGAACCGTATTCCAGTTACAGTCCATTTGAATTCATTTGAGATTTATGAATTCCTCACAAACACAAAATTTAATAATTGGAACAAAACCAAAATTTTGCACAGTCACATGGAATCAACAGACCAACTGTTATGATTTGTCTCAAAAGTTTTATACACCACAATAAAAAAGTGGTTTAACAAACGATCATTATTTTGTTATAACGTTTTGATATTTTTATTAGGGGGGGGGCACTTGCTGGTAGAACAGCCAGGTAATCAATTTCACATGTACAACTCGCACACTTGGATGTTCTACCAGCAAGTTGTCCCCCCTCATCACAATTAGGGTAAAGTGACAACAAAATAGTGATCGTATGTTAAGCAACTTTTTTTATTCGGGTGACAAAAATTTTGTGCAAAATTTGTGTTAGTGAGCAATGCATCGGTCTCAAATGAAATCAAATGATGAGTGAGCGAGTGGGTGAGAAAAATATGCGGGAAAAAAGTGAGTGCTCGCGTGAGTGAATGAGTGAATGGGTAAATCATTACGTAAATGAGTGGGGTTATACAATGCTTAGAACAATATTCCAGTTATAAGTGAGGTGAAATTGGGTTTTAACGTCATGCTTGAGAATATTTCGCTCATATGAGTGAGTTAATATTTAACGTCACATCTGCAATATTTCAGCCATATAGTGATGATTCGCTCATATGAAGACGTGCATGCGTGTGTATGTGGGGCTGTTTGTACTAGCCCAGATTGAACCTAGTTTTATAGTGCTAGCCCACTGAGATACCATGCCGCAGTGAAGCATGAATACCCCAGTACGACACATTATAGTGATTCCAAGCCGACCAGTCCTTGTACCCATTAATGCCGAACTCCAGGCAGTGTCCAACAAGTACCATTGGTCTTTTGGTATGACGCAGTCGGGAATCTAACCCGCGACCTTCCGCTCTTTGAGCAGACGCTCTAACCACTACACCATGGAGGTGGTCTGTGAGTGGGTAAATCATTAGGTCAATGAGTGGGGTTGAACAATGTTTTGAACAATATTCCAGTTATAACAGATCCTAGCAGCAGCATGTTGGAGAATAGCCTGTGATGCAGGTCGTAGACTCTAACCATTTCAGTGACTCTCCACTGTGCTCACAAGCCTAGAGGTGAGGTGAAATTGGGTTTTACGTCGTGCTTGAGAATATTTCGCTCATATGGCGACGTGCACAAGCCTAGAAACATAATAAGGCTGATTTTGGAATGTGAACCAATGATCATGGTTGCATGTGGTCCTGTGCACAGAGCTCAGGTAAGTTAAGCAATGTCGGGCTCGGAGAGTCCTTGGATGGGTGACTGTGTTTGGCAGCTTGACTCCTGAGAGTTTCTTGGACTTGAGTCCTGCCTCACAACGAAGCACATGTGGTCTCACCTTAGCCAAGTGAGTTTGTTCAAAATTGCCTCTGTTCACCTGGCAGGAAAATGGGTACCCGGTGGAAAAAGTCATGTGACTATAACTTTCTATCGCCTAACAGGCAGCTTGGGTTATCCGGGGTAATAATGTGCTGTGCTTTTGATTGTTAGTGCTATGAGCATACCTAGTGTGGAGTTTAGCGCGCTATATGAATGGACACATTAATATCACAGGTTTCTGGCAAGACTAAGGGGCATAACTCTGTACATCGAATTACAATGCCTTAAATCAATTTGTCTCCCATCAAGTAAGATGGGCCTGGAAAATGCATTTTTAATCATGGATACTTTCACAACCAGTAAGTTTAGAAATATCCACATAGCGAAATGATTCATACTTACAGTGTGTAATTGGAATTTATCATAGATTTCGGTGAGATCTTCAATAAGAAATTGCTTGAGGACGACGATTCCCTCGAGTGCAGGACTGGTTTTGTACACACAGTCTTGACAGTGGACAATAAACTTCCTGTCTTGTTCAGTCACAAACAAGATATTGAACACTTCAACCTGAAACACAATGAACCAGTATCCATATCATGTCAGACTAAACCAGCTTCCAGCATTCCAAGTTTTCGACTAACATTGTATAGAAAATAAGAAAAAATATACATTAAGAAATAAAAATAAAATCTGCATTACCTACCCATTTAAAAAAAAAAAGTGATGAGAATAACTAACTATATGTTATGTGGACTTAGGTGAAACCAACTCCAAGAAAACAGAGCCCTGAGACAAACAATTGGAACTGGAACAATACATGGGACAACTCTGCACAGTGAATGTCCCCCCACTAACTCTAATCGTGTCCATGTCGACTCTCACCTCACACTCATTGCAATAGTGGGCAGTTTCATCCTTAGATCGTCCATGCCACTTCACCTCCTTCCCCAACGCTTCCAGCGTGTCGTACGTCATCTGTATTTGGCGAAGTGACCTCAACAAACTCCATCTGTAACATCAGAAACATTGTTAAACACCTTTCAAATGCTAAGCCCCAAAGGAAGTTTAGTTTGTTTATTTAAGCCACACTCAGCAATATTCCAGCTATATGACAGTGTTCAATAAAAAATCGAGTCTGGGCCAGATAATCCAGTGATTGACATGAACATCGATCTATGCAATTGTAATACGATAACATTCATCAACCAGGTCAGCGAACCTGACCATCCGATCCGATTAGCCGCCCCTTACAACAAGCATGGGTTGCTGAAGACCATTTCTAACCTGGATCTTCATGGGTTGGAAAGAAACTAGACAGTGAATGCTAGTTATACATTGCTTTATTACGGGGACCTGTCAATAGCTGTTCATCAAGCTCTTACAGCAATCAACCTACCTGATTTGTTCGTACAGCTTGACATCCGTCATGCCAACATTCATGGCGAGGTTCCATGACAGATGCACCATGGGGACTATGGACTTATAGCTCTGTAGTTTGTTCCACTCGTACCTCTCGATACCCAGCTGGAACTGGCGAGCTGTCAGCGGACCCACATTCCAGGCAATGTTGTTACACCAACCCTGGACACAGATGTAAATCATTAGAAACTGATCACCACCAAATTGGTCTTCTGTTGTTTTTTGTGTAGAGTTGTGAGATACAGATCTCTTGAGACCATTTTAGAAAAATGTGGTGTCGAATGAAATGACATCAGGGTTTTAAATAGACTCACAAACATGGGGTCCCTGTGGACCCCTAATTATTAGTATTAAGGGTCCTTGCAGGCAATACGAGGGTCCTGTGAAGTAGCGGTGTAGAGAACTACGTTGGAATAAATCATTGATCACGTTGAACTGAGGGATGACTGACTGACTGACTGAGTTTGGTTTTACTCCGCTTTTAGCAATATTCCAGCAACATCACGGCGGGGGACACCAGAAATGGGCTTCACACATTGTACCCATGTTCGAACCCGGGTCTTCGGTGTGATGAGCCAACGCTTTAACCACTAGGCTACCCCACCGCCCTGGACTGAGGGATGAACTGATGTATGTGACTGCTCTCAAAGAAACAGCCAAAAACTTAGTAAAGTCAAAGATGTGTTGTGGGTACAGAGAATAATACTGTGCGTCGCTCTAGACGCAGTGAATCATATCTTTCTCCATCCACACTACATTGCTTTGTTTATCATTCAGCAATATGGGCTATGTTTAATAACTGTTAGGTATTCTCATGGCTTGTATATATAACTTTACTCACAACAACATCACAAGAACAGGAGAGATTAGGGATGTCACGATATATAAGTTTCATGAATCAATACTTATCACGATACCCATGTCACAATTCTATACGTATCACAATACCTATTTTCGTGGCATTATTGAGTAAATTTAGTTACATTTTGAACATTAATATTTCATAATTTATAACTGTCCATGAAAAGATCAACATTTTTTATTATCAGAGATTAAAAGTTCTAATTTCCCATCTTTGTGCATGAAAAATAATCATTTACAACTCTCAAAACATAAAAAAAACATGATACAACTGCAAAATGTAAATGAAACAAACATATTTAAACCGATACTTTCAAAACTAAATATTGACACAGTTTTGAATGCATTGATAATTGCATCATCATAGAAAAAGTATAAATGTATCGATGTATTGTGGCATCCTTAAGTGAGTGAGTGAGTTTAGTTTTACGCCGCACTCAGCAATATTCCAGCTATATGGCAGCGGTCTGTAAATAATCGAGTCTGGACTAGGCAATCCAGTGATCAACAGCATGAGCATCGATCTGCGCAATTGGGAACCGATGACATGTGTCAACCAAGTCAGCGAAACTGACCACCCGATCCTGTTAGTCGCCTCTTATGACAAGATAGTCGCGTTTTTATGGCAAGCACACGGGTTGCTGAAGACCTATTCTACCCCGGATCTTCACGGGTCGGCATCCTTAAGAGAGATCCTAAACCACAGAAGTTGTTCCCAGCTACTCACAATTGCCTGGACCCAGTGAACCGTGCCTGGGCCCGATCCAAACGAGGTCCCCCGGTTTCTGTATGAATCTGTACACCGGTACGTCTTCCTCGTACAGGTCCTCCAGGACAGGCCACCAGGACCCCGTCAGATAGTTGACACTATTTCTACAACACAGGAGTCAGTTCAATCAGTGGTCTTGTTTTATTGAGGGTTACTTTGCATTCACTGTTTCAACCAATGGTTTCATTTAGCGGTCTCGAGTTCAGGGGTTAAAAATGCCATTGCCCAACACCCGGGTCAAGTGGAATTCTCTGGTTAGTCAAGTAAATATCCACATAAAACTTGAATCCATGTTCACAATTATAATCACTGGTCTTTTTAATTCAAGTGTTAATTAATATTACCAGTAAACTGGTATATACCGGTACAGTCTCTCGCGATACGATTATCGCGATACGGTTCAGATTCTGCAATATATTGGGTCATCCAGAGATAGCTTCATTTGACTTAACTTCCCTTGATTTCCAAAGCAGCCAAATGTGCTCTAAAAGTGTCAAATATACTTTTATTTCTGTTGGTTTCACGTAACATGTTACAAGTGGGAGTGACATTATAAGTGATTCCAAAATTGCCAATAGTCTACCAAATACTTTACGTTTGTGGGTTTGAATGGTTTCATTTGGAGGAATTAAGTGGCCTCAAATGGCCCAATTTTTATTTGGGCTTATTAGTAAAGCCTCTGGCTCTAAGTGACCATTTCACAGTTCACACTATTTTGTTATTTTTGCTTGTTTCGTAATGGGGCATATGATATCAATTTATCATAAAGGTCTAAGTCTTATACATTTGGTAGGACTGTCTAATGACATTCTTGTCAAGGATCTTAGTAATTGGATTTTAATCTCATGTAGTTAAACCAAATCATGTTTTTGTTTCATTTTGCAATAGTTCATGTTAACACATGTTTATATTGGAGTTGAATCTAAATGAATCACTGACATACAGTAACAAAAATTACATACTGCATTTGAGTGCACTCTGTTGAAGCAAACAACACTGACCATGAAAATCATGTTATATTATCACCTATATCATTATGTTCGCAAACCTTTGTTGCAATACTTCGATTAAAAGTTTCAAATTACAGCTGTATATAATTTTATTTGTCTGTAAACCACTGGCACACAACCATACACAATGGGGACGGGGAGCTGAAAGTATGGCGTACCAACAACTAAGAAGATGATGTCACACACAGAGAGTTGTTATGAATTTGTTATGTACGCACTTGGGCAGAAATCTTCCAGTCAATATATCACACGGTGCATTGCAATATCTCTTAAATTATTGCAATATATCGCAATATGAGAATCAGGGCAATATCCAGCCCTATTGAATAGTAGTTTCACATTCAATGGCATGGTCATAATCAACTGACTTGTTTCATTCCATAACCTTGTTATTATCAAAGGAAGTGTTTTATTCACCAGTTTTGTTCTATTCAGTGGCATTGTCTAACCAAGAGTATTCTGATGTCATTGTTTTATTCAACTCACTTTTCACACAGGTTGTATATGACTCCCCAGTACTGATCGGGAACAGCGAACCACTCACAGTCTCCGGGTCCGATGTTGATGTTCACTGAACAGAAGTTGTTGTTCTCCTGGTGGCCTGGACAATGAAGAGGAATGACTTTGAGTGAGTGCTTTAGTGAGTGAGTGAGTTGGGTTTTATGCCGCTTTTAGCCATATCCCAACAATATCATGGGAGGCTGGGATAGCCATATCACAGCCACTATCATGGCCTTCAGCGTTACGAGTGAATGCTTTAACCACCGCCCCTGATTGATGTTGAGAATAAGTGTAACTTACAGATGCATGAACTAACACAAAAATTATCTAGCCTTTAAAATATTCAAAATAGCCTACGTCTCACAGTGAAGATGTAAAAACCGACGTCCATTGAAAAGCTACCACAAAATATTGTTGAAGCTTAGTACTGATATCGAGAGCAGTGAGTGACCCAGTGGTCAAAGATGCTGCTATTTTGGTCTGCAGAGTTGTGTCCCTTGGGCAACCCCAAACTTCTGATCATCAGTTTGAATCTCATTGATTATGATTTGACAGCACTATACCCATGCTCTTGGATTTCACCGAAGCGGTAACCATTTAAGATCTGCATTGCTTTGGGCTTTCCTCCAACAGTGAACTTACACAGTGCAAAACATTGGAATACTGCTGAGAATGGCGTTCTAACCAAACCCTTGTTTCGTTCACCAATATTGATACCCAAAGACAGACTGAAAGGTCTAAAGGTTCACAAATACATATAATGAATAATAACAAAGAGTCAACAGAAGCATAGAGTGCCCATTCAACAGCGGCATAGAGTACCCATTCAACAGTGGCATAGAGTGCCCATTCAACAGCGGCATAGAGTGCCCATTCAACAGCAGCTTAGAGTGCCCATTCAACAGCGGCATAGAGTGCCCATTCAACAGCGGCATAGAGTGCCCATTCAACAGCAGCATAGAGTGCCCATTCAACAGCAGCATAGAGCATCCTTTCAACAGCAGCATAGAGTGCCCATTCAACAGCGGCATAGAGTGCCCATTCAACAGCAGCATAGAGCATCCTTTCAATGGCCACCAAAGGTCACTAGTTCAGGACCATCCTAGAAAATCTGTCAGCCCAACTCCTCCGTCTGTCAATTGTCATATATATTCATATGACCCTCACCTGGAGTCCTTGACCCTGGCACCTTCATATACAGCTGTACTGTGTTCATGCCGAGAATGGTATGTCCCACGTGACTGAGCATGTTTCCCGCGGACACCACCCGTGTGAAAGACGGCAGTTTGGTTAGCTCATGTAGCTGCAGCTTCCATTTCTTCTCATCTGACAAGTCGACGTTTGTCCCGAACTTAATGATCTTCACTTTCTTCCTGCAGAAAACAAGGATACCATGTCAAGAGAGGTTAGATGTGATGTGATGTGACGTGACGTGACTTGACTTGAGATGTGACGTGACGTGACGTGACGTGACGTGACGTGACATGACGTGACATGACTTGCGATGTGACGTGACGTGGTGGATGGGTGGATGGATAAGTCATTGTGATCATCACTGCATCCTCTACATAATCAAAGCCTACCCTTGGACTTTTTGCCTAATGACATGCAATCACCATAGAATATAGCAGAGACAACCAGTCACATCTTAAGAAAAAAAACCCCACCCCTGCCTTAGAGTCCCAACTGAACTGAAGCAGCATAAAGTTAATCTCAACCTCCAGGCTGTCCCATTACCAAAGATAGTTGAAGAAACGCTTGATAAAGGCTGTTGATCCTGCATCAGTTACATTACAATCTGTCACATGAAAAGAAGCTGTGACCTACCCCTTCGAAGATGAGGAAGAGTTGGAGTCACTGTCCGAATCCTTCTCCTTGTGTTGCCCCTTTGCCTTCTCAGCCTCTTCCTGAAAACAAACACCCGAGTCCTGAGTCAGTTTCCCTCTGTATCAAGTCTGTGGCTGATCTGGGAGAATCCTATTCCACAAACCAACTCAACAACACTATACTGATCGGAACCAACATACTTTAACATACGATAACTTGAAAAGCTTTTCAGAAATGCCCATCAAACAATTCATTGTGTCAGTGCTGACCTTGAGAGATTCCTGGAATGAGGAGGCCTGGTACTGGGCGTACTTGGCTACGGTCGTGTGACTTCTGCTGCTGTCACAGTGCCACACCTTGTTGCCCCAACTGTCTCGGTTCTCATCCGGCGCCTGCTGCTTCTGTTGACACAAGACACATTCAATATTAAACAAACTGAAAGAGATTCCAATTCCACAGCATGGAGAACTAGTAATCATTTTTTCACTTAAATTAAATAAAAAAATAATTAGTTCCACGTCTGCTAATAGAATTGCTCTTTCCTCTGGATTTAACTTTTTGGGGATATGATGCCTGTAAATGTGTGAAATGCACCTGGATCGAATCCTGGTCCAATTTATGATAATGAAATCCAGTAACTTGCAATTGCCACAAATTTAAGTCAGTGAGTGAGTGAGCATAGTTTTACGCCACTTTTAGCAATATTCCAGCAATATCATGACTGGGGACACCAGAAATGGACTTCACACATTGTACCCATGTGGGGAAATGAACCTGGGATTTCGGCATGACTAGCGAAGGCTTTAACCACTAAGCTACCCCACCACCCCACAAATGTAATTTCCCATACAGCAGTTACCAAGCAAATGCCTGGTCTCACAGACCTCCTTCTGAAGCAGTATTAATGGCAGTTAAAAGGAATTAGTGATGTTTTCAGCAACATTGCATGCACTGGAAGTTTAGAATTCTCTTATGCTAAGATCAAGATAAAGATTTACGGAGTCCCTCAGTTCCAGTACCATTTAAGTAGGGAGTTTATCTCAACCTGCTTGGAGGCTGAAATTCCAACCTAAGTCAGCAATGAATTCCAAAATGGGAAGGACAATTGATGAATTAATATAAGTATAGTTATAATATATACTTTTGTGATAGTTGGTACGAGGAGACGTGTATGTCATTGAAAACATGATCATTTAAGAAGACTCTTAGAAAGGCTTACTTCTCCATTACTACATTGAATACCATTTAATCTTAAAATATCCCTGAAGTTAAGACATAAGTACAAGAGGATCCACTTTGGGAACATAGCCAAAGGCTTCTGTTCCCAATTTGCTGGTCAAGGCATTAGTTTAGAATCCTAAAATCACTTTAAACATGCACTTTAATTTCAAACGTCTAAAAACCATGTGTGAAAACTTGAAACTAGCAGTGTTGATGCTACCCAGAGACCAAAAGTGACAGGAATTACATTGTATGTACCTGTGTGCGGACTTCAACACGATGATCAGCATTGGCTTCAACCAGTGTTTTTGTCGAAAATAAACCTAAATCTGAAAATAAGATATATTTTGTGAACAATACAATAAACTCAAGACACTTTAGTTGGATTGTGTGTTTGCACCCCTTTCAGAAAAAAACATGTCTGTCGTAATGAGGTAATGATAGTGTCTTTTACCATAGAGTAAAAGTTGTTGTTTTCTTACATAATGCAGTGACTGACATCAAGAGCACTGACCTACATTTACAAACAATGAGTTTAGTTTAGTTTTAGTAGCAATATTCCAGTTATCGGGCCCCGATTTCTCGAAACAAACTTAAGTCTGAGTTTTGACTTAAGTCAGAGTTTTTACTCAAATTTGAGAAAACGCAGAAAATGCATTTTCCAGAATAAACTGAAATCAATTTTAAACTCAAACTCAGTAGACAATTTGAGTGTGGTGAATCGATTACTTAAGTTGTTTGGGCTTTTTTAATTAAAAAATGCAGTTGAGTTAAAAATTCAGCTGTTTCAAATTGTCAAACTCAGTTTGAAATTTGAGAAAAACTTAAGTTTGTTTCGAGAAATCGGGGCCGGAAGTCAAGTGAGGGAGCTCGATCACCTATTAGGTGCCACTCATGACATGCATGGGTGACTGAAGACCAGTTCAAACAAGCATCTTTACTAGGAGGACTTTGCAATGGAAGGTCCCTGATTGTACACCCAGCAACAAGGGTTACCAACCTAATTTCAAGGCTCCAGCTAACCCTCGTATAACTACAACTGGTTGAGAATGACAGTACTGCTGAAGCTCTGGCGAAAAGGCATCACGCTTGCTCTCGAGCTGAAACATGCAAAAACAAATTGCAATGCAAGATACCACAGATATACAACAATACACAGAAAGAATCGGCATTTCCTTAAAGTTTTTGAAAAGTAAATGCCCCAAAATGTCAAATTTGTTAAATATTCATTTAAAAAAAGCTTGGCACTAACATGTTTAATGCATCCATTGCTGTGTGATGTCCACATAGAACTAACAGTGTAAGAGATTTACAAAGTGAATTAAGGACATTATTAAGTATTCAAGACCTTGTTATTCTAACCTCTGAAGCCCAAATAATGTCCAGATAATCAACCCCAAAACAGGAACACAAATCCTTATGATTCACACTCTGAGACAAAAGGGAGGTAACTCCCAGGTATAGCATGAAAAGGGAGATAACTCACATAAACGCTAGGTGTAGGTGGGTTTAGACTCTCCTTTGGAAGTGATGGATAGGGAGGACTTGGTGGATGTGGTGGTGGACACAGATCCGAGTAGTACCCTTTCTTTCCTAGGAGAGAAAAAATAAACCATTTATAAACATACACATAAAAAATGAACAGAATACAATTGCACTAGCGCACAATACCTGGATACTCATAATAAATAGTACAGAGGGAATGGTGTAACCTAATTTGATATTCAAGTGATTTCAAACTAGCTATTTCTGACAAGAACAATGAGGAACTTCTTCATCTGATGAAGACCTACATCTTAAAGTTCAGCTCCATCACACAGATAGGGACTAGGAAACTTTATATATGGATTGCCTCTGTGAAGCAGGAAAAACTTCTTTATTCAGGTGATTGTTAGCTTATGAGCATACCTAGTGTGGAGTTTGGCGCATATAAATGGACACATTATTATTTATTTATTTTTATAACAACTTCTTTATTCAGGTGGTGCGACGTTTAGAAACAGTTTCTTGTATTGTTGTCAAGCAGGTATGACGATCTATGACGATGAAGTAATGATACAAGAATCTGTATCAAAACGTCACACCACCTGAATAAAGAAGTTGTTCATCCATAAAGTTGTCCTTATCTGACGCTCCAACTTCTAAAATGACACTCAAAGAAGAAATCCATCAGAGATAACTTGACTGACTGACTGACTGAGTTTGGTTTTACGCCGTTTTTAGCAATATTCCAGCAACATCACGGCAGGGGACACCAGAAATGGGCTTCACACATTGTACCCATGTGGGGATTCGAACCCCGGTCTTCTGCGTGACGAGCCAACGCTTTAACCACTAGGCTACCCCACCGCCCCCAGATAACTTCACAACAAATGAAGGTCTGTAAAAGAAAATTATGTCCTGTGCAATAAGACTTCAGTTTATAATAGGTGTTCTTCCTGGAAATAATTGCTTATTTTGGTTTGCCATATTAGCTGAAAACAATTGCCTTCAGAAATTAAGAAAGCTATGGGAAATTGAAGAACATTATTGTCTCAAGTCATAAGATGAAAACACACCTGTATAATGATCTACAAAGAGATCGTAGCGCTACGACTGTCGTAAGTCTATGTTCAAGTATGGGAGTTACGATCACCTTAGCGCTACCATCGCTTTATGTAATGGGGCCCAGGTCTTTCATTACAATCGTAGGTAGGTCAGAGGCCCTTAAGGCACTTACATACTGAAAATAATGGCCTTCTGTAATACTTCTGACCCCTCTGTGTCCATGAACATATTTTCAAGACCTCCCCCAAAAGGCAAAATACAATACACTTCATATCTTATCAAATGCCTATTTTGTTATGATCTTTCCCAAATATGTCTATTACATTTACAGATCGCTGGTCCCCTCTGACCTGTCACCCTATAATAAATGATGGGTCCCGTACATGCACAACTAGTCTTCATAATAATTCTTCATTTCACAAAGTAATGGTAAGAAATTTTATTTTTAAAAAAATGTTCAGTTGCCGTACCCATTTCTTCTTGAAGTGGTACAACGTGACGTCAAACACAATTGTTTCAAACTTACAGCTGTCCCAAAGCTTTGTCATGTCTTCAAAATTATCCCTTCAATTATAATTCTGATTCATGTAAACTTTTATTCTGTATGTTAATTTTTATTCCATAGTTGTAAATATTTCAATTGCTTGTTCGTTTGTCAAATATGAGAGCGAATCAATGAACATATAAGTTCATTTTGTGCTTAGGTCAAACCTTGGACAACTTGTAGTATTTCCGTCCAACTTTGAAAAAATGGTGTTTGACTGTATCAAGTAACAGTATCCCAATTTAAGACACCAATCAAAAAACTAATTACGATTCAAGAAAATAATGACATACCTAGTCCTTTGCTCGCGTCAACAATTTCACGCCCGCACATATTTATTGACAATGTGGGCATAGGTTTCTCATCCTTCTTTTGCACACATGGCTCAGTTTTTTCAATTTTCAAAAGTGAACTGTACTCCAACGAAGCACTGACTCTGTCCTTATCAGCTGATGTGCCTTGAAGCAAGTCTTTCTGGTTATTGCTTCCTGTTTGAGCAGATCCCTGAGAGGAGGTCGAGGAATGTTGAGATAAAGCACTGTTGGTAGGTGACACACCACTTTCTGATGACATCGCACGTTCGGCAGGCGTGCTGCGCATTCCACCGTTGTCCCGATTCTGATGAGGGCCCGCGATGACCTGGGGCGAGGACCCTATAATTGGCTGCTTGGGTTGCAGCGACATTGAGGGAATGGGTTGCTGACTAGAACTACTGAATCTACTAGGTCCCTTGTTGGCCTGGTCGTGGCCTTGAGATATCTGAGCAAGAAGGTCCTCAGCCAGGGAGGTAGCAATGTCCTGGCGAGAGAGGAGAGCAGTAAGATCATGTTCACTCAAGCTGGCTGCGGCTGTCTGAAGGTCCTTAGACCCTGGATCTGAGATCATTGGGGTTAAGTTATGAGGGGGTATGTTCCCGCCCTGACCCGGGAAGCCAGATGGCAGTCGGTGATGAGGTGGCTGGCCTGACGCCATCTGTGACGAGGTCGGAGGCAGGGGTCCGGCACCGTAACCCTGAGACGATGGTGTGATTGTGCTCAATGGAATGTTGCTGTGCGGGTGAGGAAGAGGTAGATTCCCACCAGGGGGAGGCAACCCTGGCCTCATACCTGGAGGGTGACCTTGACCTGGGAGATGACCTTGACCTGGCATATGACTTTTCATTCCTGGTCCGTGCTGTCCAGAAATACCTTGGGGATTTGGTCCACCTGCATAACGCATCAAATATTCAAGATTACTTCTTGGAGGTGGATCAGCATATCCAGGGGAAGAGTTTAGATAAGCACTAGGCATTCCAGTTCTACTACTAACAGAGTCTACGTGTTTAGTGGCGTGCAGAGAGAAAGGCAAAGAGGGTGCAGCACTACTAAGAGGTGGGCTGTGCACCGAGGGTGGTGGTGGTGGCCCGTCCAACAGTGGAGAGAACGTCGGAGCGCCGGGACAGAGGGGTCCAGGCGGTCCTGCACGAGGTCCGAGAATGTTACCTGGCGGCATAACGCCCCCTGTTGGTGAGAGCTGGGACTGCAGAGGATTATGCTGGTTCGGCATATGACCCTGTGGAGGCTGCATTCCCATTGGAGGCATCTGATTTCCCTGAACACAGAAACAAGAAACATTCAGAGTACAACAGGGACAAATCTACCCACGCGTCCTGCGTAATATACACGCGAAAATTGGAAAGGACGCACAAATATTTTACATGTGCGTCCTGTGGATGCATACATATTGTGATTGTAACTTTAACTCAAGCATCATTTGCACAAAAAAAAAATCAAAAATAAACAGCAAAAGAATTTCGATCAACAGTAAAGATATTCTTCTCACATATTTATTGAGGTTCCTTATAAAGACCAGGGCAAGCTTCTATCCTGAGTCTTTGGAACATCATAGATGTTCGATTAAGACCATATAGATTTCAGACAAATCATGAAGAATACATTGTGGACGAAATTACAACCCTGTTGAGCTCTTGCCATGAATATTTCTTTGCTTTTTGTTGATCACCAGACTCAGCACTATTACAGCTATATGAAGGCGGACTGTAAATAATCGAGTCTGGACCAGATAATCCAGTGATTAACAGCATGAGCATCAATTTGAGATATGATGACATGTGTCAAACAAGCCAGCGAGCCTGACCACCTGATCCCATTTGTCGCCTCTTACGACAAGTCGTTGCTGAAGACTAAATGTAACGAATGTTCACAGGGTAGCCCCATGGCTGTGTACTGAGTATTCACCTGTGTCTGCATGGAGGCCTGCATCTTGAGGTGTTGTTGCTGTTGCTGCAGGTAATACTGATGCTGGAGCTGGTGGAACATCTGCTGCTGCTGCGGAGTCAGGTTACCCTGCAATACGATCATTATGTCAGCGAATGAGTGGGTGAGTGAAGATGGCTTTAAGGTACTTTTAGCAATATTCCAGCAACATCACGGCTGGGGACAGAAATGGGCTTCACACATTGTACCCATATGGGTACTCGAACCCGGTTCTTTGGAGTGATGAGCAAACGCTTTAACTACTAAAGTACTGTCAGAAATAAAAAAAACTGGATATTATTTGTAAATTGTTATGACGTGCTGTGTACCTACCCAGTATAATTGCCCTAAAGGATTATCTTTTCTTAGCTGATATCTCTATCCCCCAGCCCGATCCCAGGTTTTGCTTTTGAGACAACCTCTCCTATCTCTTTCTTTTTATAGTGACAGTGAGACTGCACGGTAGCTACATCCTTAATAGTTTTAGCATGAAAGTTATTACTTTTTACGTCAGCTATCGTTTAGAATGAATCTACGTCTAATTTCAAATTGGGCATTTAAAAAGTGTCCTTTGTAATACAATATTGTCGCACACTAATTTGCATAAAGCCATGGTCTGTTCCAAATAAGTCTTTTTGGACTTAGAAGAAAACCGCATTGCTCATTTCTGCACTAATTTCCCCTCAGTAAAGTCCCTTTTTTCCGTTTTCTATCTCGCTACCACTGAGACTATAGTTAGGCCGAACTTCGTTTAACAGATATTTCACACTTTCACATATCAACTACATAAATTGTAGAGATAAATGAGAAAATACAGTTTTTTTCTATTTCCAACAGTACTTTAGGCTACCCCATCGCCCCATGTCAGCAAAGTAAGTGGACTCACAGGAATATTCACCTGCCCAGGAGTCACACTTAATGGCCAAAGTTCTGAACCAGGAGTCAGTATGATCTGTTTGATTTGCATTTAGAAGTTCAGGAGTAACAATGAAGGCAAGATACACCATGGGTGACAACAAATTATATATAATAATGTGACATTTCAGTAGAGATACTAAAACAGTGGCACAACAATATAATCAAGAAGTTGTCATCCATAGAGTATCTTTCCTTTACACATGTTTGTAGTGGGGTGACTTCATGAGTAAGTTCGTTTGGTTTTACGCCACTTTTAGCAATATTCCAGCAATATCACAGCAGGGGACACCAGAAATGGCCTTCACACATTGTACCCATATGGGGAGTCAAACCAGGGTCTTCGGCATGAGGGAACGCTTTAACCATTAGGCTACCCCACTGCCACTGTGACTTCATGTAGAGTGCACCTACCTGATTCTGTCCCAGGTATTGAAGAAGATGCATTTGCTGCTGATTAAGAAACTGTGGTGGGGCTCCCTGTGGGGGGTGGTGGGGGGCCTGTTGTGGGTGTGTAGCTTGAGGAGTAGGCATTTCTTCTGATGAAGGCTGTAAACATTCAAGAATACTGATGAACAACAAATACTAAAATATTCTGTGACCAATTATCAACAAACAAATGGCACTTCTTAAGTTATTCAGCTGAACTCAGTGTTACATTTGAACATACAACACGTTCTAATGAGGCTACAGGTGTACAAACTCGTCACGATATGGCTGAAATATTGCCAATGTGACGTTAAATAATAACTCACTCACAGGTGTACAAACTATCCTTAAACCTACAGTTTACATGAAACAATAGATCATTTCTTCTCATAGAGTTATTAAAAGTCAGTCTATAACTGCTAACTAAACGCCAGATAGCAGGACAATTAACAGACAGGGAAACAGCCGGTCCTAAAGTCCCTGAACCATATTATTTTACCTTTCCTACCTTGCCCTAAATGAAGCAAGTATAGATTTTCCACTGCTATCTCTCCAGATCTCCTATTCAGTGAAAATGGAGTTGAGCATATTACAAAGAGCTGCTTTATGCTGCTTTTAGCAAAATTCCACCAATATCATGGCAGGGGACACCACACCAGAAATAGGCTTCACACATTGTATCCACGTGGGGATCGAACACAGGTCATCGGATGACGAACAAGTGTTTTAACCACAAGGCTACCCCCATTGAGTGGAAAAATATCAGAATCGTTTCCTCACATACCCTTTTCCTTGACTGTGCCTTCTTCTTCTGTTCTTCTTCAGTAAACCCTGCAAGGCTAGGGTGTGGGGGCAGACTGCCATTCTGTATCTGGGCTGGGGGCAACATGCCATGGGGGCGGTCAGCCGGCTGGAGAACAAGGGAGACAACTTTAGATTTGGGGTGATTACTGACCTCTTTGTACAGGCTGTGACAACAAAAATAATAATTGTCATTAGCTGTCTAATGCTGCAGTTGGCAACATTCCAGAATCTGATGGCAGTCTCTAAAATGGACACTCTGGAACAGACAATCCAGTGATTGCTATCCTGAACATTGATCAGTGCTTTTGGAAGACCATGACAACAATCACTGAAGTTGCCGAGCCCTGACCTCCCAATCCTTTTAGTGTTTCATAGGGCAAGCATGTTTTTTTCTAGTAGGCTGGTCTTCTCTCTATATGCTTTTCAGAAATCCTATATACATTTTTTAAAAATGACATCTAAATGACAATTAAATGTCAACAAAAACATGACCAGTCAACCTCTCTTGATATCTAGCTCTATAGTTGTTCAAACACACAAATTTTTTCAAGACTGACTTTGACCTTGACATGAATGTCATAGTGTATGAAATATGCAAAAATGGTACTAAAGAAATTGCTTATTGAAAAAAATATTCATGGGAAGTCTTGAAAGTCTAAGAAGACAATCCAGTGAATTCAGGTTAACATGCTGAAAGTGTCGCAGTGACCTTGAAAATTATGTGAAGGTCACCAAAATTGACTGGGCCCTGAGCCTTCATTAGATGAAGCTAAGCACCAAATATGAAGAAAATGCAGTGAATGGTTCTTGAGGTATCTTGCTGACAAGCATAACATGCAGGATAATATGCTGAAATCTTCAAATTGTCGCCATGACCTTGAAAATTAAGTGAAGGTCACCAAAATCGACTGGGCCTGCGCCTTCCCTAGATAAAGCTTGGTATTGAATATGGAGAAAATCTAGCAGTTCTTGAGATATCTCGCTGACAACAGTAAAACGATAAAGTCCCCTTGTGACCTTGAAATTAAGGTCAAGGTCACCAAACATGACTGGGACCTTTCGTATACTGTGATGAACCTAGGTACCAAATATGAAAAGAATCTAGTCAACGTTTCTTAAGATATTCCAACTCGTACCTACAGACGGAGCCTAATACTATATCCCCCACTTCGCTTTAAAAGCGCGCCGGGGGATAAAAATGTTTTTCTGATATGAAGACATACTTTAACAAAACTAACCAAGCCTTACCACCAATCCTGTTACTTGTTGCATATGATAAGAATGGGTTGTTTGGGATGTATATTCTTCTCGGGGCAGCCCAACAGGTGTGTTTTGCTTACCTGCACTGGCTGTGGTGCCTGACTCTGACGAGATGTGAGTTCTGCAGGGATGGGCAGTCTCCACGCTTCTTCTATGCTTGGCAGTGTACGAGGCCTGATCAAAAGAGATAATCACTACCTTACATTTGTACCGTTTAACAACATTTGTATTGGTGAGGTCACTAAACAAAAGCAAGGTCTAGAGGACTGTACCATTGAGATTATCTGACCAACCATGTGAAAACAGCTTGCTGAGAGCTTGCATGGACAATGCCATGATTTTGAATGTAGATCTGTGACCAAATCATGCCCAGCAGAGGAATTTTCAAGCCTTTCAAGCTCAGGACCAGACAGATCTCTGAGTTCAGTTGGTGGTAAGAGAAAATGAATGAATGTATATGGTTTACTTGACTTTGGGCAATATTTCAGTAATATCACGGCGGACACCAGAAACATTGCATCCATGTGGGAACTGAACCCATCTCTTTCGCATCACAAGTGAATGCTTTAACCATTACAACAGAATAAAAATCTAGCACCAGTGTGCCAAAAAGCAGCTGGCCTGCTAGCTAGTGGCTAGTAAAAATCCAGTCGGGCCAGAAAATCTCCAGTCACTGGCTAGTGAATTTTCATGGGGTCATTTTTGTAAATATATCACTCTCTCTCCAACTTGTTAAGTTATAACACACTCTAAATCATGCAAGATTATGGCCGGATAAAATATATTCATCATATTAGCAGCTTAATGATGAAACCTGTGTCATGCAGACAATATCTTATTCCCATCTATTTTTGTAAGCTTTTCCTTAGTTTCTACATTCAAATTTGGGGCTAGTGAATTATTTTGTGAGCTAGTATCTTTCAGACTAAGCAAGCCCAACTGGGTAGCAAAATTTGGAAATTATTTCACACACTGTGTAGCAATAGTCAACATACATGAAAGTGTCTTCAGGTCAATGTCAAATAATATTACAATCTGTCCGTATATACCACTCAAAATAAGTTAAAAACAGATTCACAACAGTAAGTTGAATGAATTGGTCTACCGTAACTTCTTTTGAATAGTGTAACAGTCAGAATGATAGCTGAATGTATCCACCTGGTATTGGTCACTTTCAAACTCACTTGTTTTGGAAATGTTGCATTGGTACGTTGCTAAGATTCTGTTGCAGAAACTTCACCTTTGACGCTAGATTAGAACCAACTCGAGCTGAAAACACAGAACACATTAGTACTGACTTACAAATACAAGGAAGCGTGGTGTTATTTCTACCTAGACAGTAAACACCACACCTGTAAGAGGAATGTCCAACATTACAGACTATTTCCTGATGACAACCACAGGTTAAACTAGCTGTCTTCAGCTTAGTGTAGAAGGGATGAAGCAAGATTGATCTATTTCTCTGACTGTCGCAGGATGACTGGCGTAGCAGTACAAAGCATCTGCATAAGTGTTTGTATACTCATATCCTGTTGCTAAACATCTTGAAATGCCGTGTAAATACTAGTGCTGCACAATATAACTAGTTTACAGGTATTTACCGGTTCAGACATGAAAACGATATGTATTGCGATACGCTGATCGAAAACCGGTATTTTGACATGCATTCGGAAAACTTCGTAACACTTGGAAATCTTCGGATATTTCCGGTTTTTAAGTTGTTCCTTTACTTTTTTTATTTGTGTCAAATATTATTTACATTTATTTTTGGTCATGATTAAAGCACTTATTAAATCTTAATCAAGCATAGTGATTTTGTTGTGTTTTTGCTTTATAAAACAAGCATTAACTCGATTATTCGTAGCTTTTTGTTGGAAAAAAACTTCTTGCAATATATATCACAATATACGCTTTTGGATGGCAATATATCACAATATGAAAATTCTCTGCAATACCTACCCCTAGTAAATACTTTCCAGTAAACAAACAGCACTGGAAATGCTAACATCATTGATAAATGGTGTCTCACTTTAGTTTCAAGATGATTTGAGCATCATGTTGCACACTAGGGGTGGGTATTGCAGAGAATTTTCATATTGCGATATATTGAGATGCGGAAGCATATATTGCAATATGTATTGCAATATATTGCAAGGATTATTTTTGAAACAAAAACTACTTATAATCGAGTTAATGCTTGATTATAAAGCAAAAACACAACAAAGTCACTATGATTGATTAACCTTTTATAAAAACTTTTAATCATGACAAAATAAAAATTTAAGTAACATTTGGCACTAATGAAACAGGGAAAAGAACAATTAAAAAAATGGAAATATCCGAAGATTTCCGAGTGTTACGAAGTTTTCCGAATGCATGTGAAAATACCGGTTTTCGATCAGCGTATCACAATACGTATCATTTTCATGTCTGAACCGGTAAATACTGGTAAACCGGTTATATTGCGCAGCCCTATTGCACACTAGCTATTGGTCATATGGAATCCAACCCAGGCCTCAAAGATGAACACACGAACCACTGGGTTACATAACCTGCATGAGGAAGGACACCACGATTGAAAAATGGTGTCTCACTTTTGTTTCTTGATGATTTGAACATCATGTTGTACACTAAACTAATGCTTAGTCTCTGAATATGTATAATTTTGACAGTAACAAATAAACACATTTGAAACTTGAAAAGAAGCCCCAGTCAGATGGGAGATTCAGAACCTGAACCTGGGGTAATCTAGACTTGCTTCATTTAGGGCTTTAGCATTGCAGGGAGGGCTAGGCAGTAGGGGAAATGATGTGGTTCGGGGACTGTGAGCCAGACTAGGAGGGCACGGCAGTAGGGGAAATGATGTGGTTCAGGGACTGTGAGACAGACTAGGAGGGCTAGGCAGTAGGGGAAATGATGTGGTTCAGGGACTGTGAGACAGACTAGGAGGGCACGGCAGTAGGGGAAATGATGTGGTTCAGGGACTGTGAGACAGACTAGGAGGGCCACGGCAGTAGGGGAAATGATGTGGTTCAGGGACTGTGAGACAGACTAGGAGGCACGGCAGTAGGGGAAATGATGTGGTTCAGGGACTGTGAGACAGACTAGGACTGTGAGGACTAGGAGGGCGGCAGGGGAAATGATGTGGTTCAGGGACTGTGAGACAGACTAGGAGGGCTAGGCAGTAGGGGAAATGATGTGGTTCAGGGACTGTGAGACAGACTAGGAGGGCACGGCAGTAGGGGAAATGATGTGGTTCAGGGACTGTGAGACAGACTAGGAGGGCTAGGCAGTAGGGGAATGATGTGGTTCAGGGAGGACAGACTAGGAGGGCTAGGCAGTAGGGGAAATGATGTGGTTCAGGGACTGTGATGACAGACTAGGAGGGCTAGGCAGTAGGGGAAATGATGTGGTTCAGGGACTGTGTGACAGACTAGAGGGCAGACTAGGAAAGGCAGGGACTGTGGACAGACTAGGAGGCACGGCAGTAGGGGAAATGATGTGGTTCAGGGACTGTGAGACAGACTAGGAGGGCACGGCAGTAGGGGAAATGATGTGGTTCAGGGACTGTGAGACAGACTAGGAGGGCTTGGCAGTAGGGGAAATAATGTGGTTCAGGGACTGTGAGACAGACTAGGAGGGCACGGCAGTAGGGGAAATGATGTGGTTCAGGGACTGAGCCAGGCTACTTGCACACAAGTAACTGGTCATATGGAATCAAACCCAGGCCTCAAAGTTGAACACACTAACCGATGCACTACACAAATAGCACAAGGAATGATATCACAATTGATAAAAGTCTCACTTTTGTTTCTGGAAGCATTTAGATAACAAGTGAGGCTATCATTGGGCTGGTTGCAGGCCTCATAGAGAATTCCCAGGTCTGTCCAGGCTGCAGAGTGAGACTTGTCCAACTGCACTGCACATATGTAGGCCTGGAGAGCATCCATAGGCTGGTTCTGCTGCTGATACAGCACTCTGAAACATCCAATCAGATAACACATTTCATTTTGGACATCCAATCAAAAGGGGGGATATTAACAAAAATATTAATAACCAACTGTTTAAGAGGAATTTTTCACATTTGATTTTGGACATCAAATCAAAATGGAGGATATTCTTAAAAACATTAAACAATCAAGTGTTTAAGAAGAATTTTTCAAACTTGATTTTGGACATCCGATTAAAACGATCAAAATGGAGGATATGAATTTCTTTTTCAATAACTAACTGTTAAAGAATTTTTCATATTTGATTTGGTAGGTCAGAAAATCATAAAACATATACCCAGCTGCATAAGCATGTAGTTTTGAAAGATAAGGATGGACTTCTTTGGGCATGAACTCACCCTATTGAGCACCAAGTGTCAGCATTAGCTTCAGACTTATCGATGGATTGGCGGTAGGACACAAAAGCATCATGGACTTTGCCTATACTAGAATAACACCTGCAAGTAAACATGGATGTGTAATCATGGTCAGCTGAGTGAGTGAGTGAGTGAGTTTAGTTTTAAGCTGCACTCAGCAATATTCCAGCTATATGGCAGGGGGTCTGTAAATAATTGAGGCTGGACCAGATAATCTAGTGATCAACAGCATGAGCATCGATCTGTAGAATCGTTCAAGAAAATATTTCTCTTGTTGAATGACGGTCTGTGAATGACTGCCTGAGAGAGTATGGTTTTACGCCACTTTTAGCAATATTCAAGCAACATCACGGCGGATGAAAAACAGAAATGGGCTTCACACATTGTACCCATTAGGGAAATTGAACCTGGATCTTCGGTGTGACGAGCAACGGCTTTAAACACAAGGCTACACCACCACCCCCAATCCTACCGTTCAGTATTTGATACTCACCTTCCAAGAAGGTACCAAGTCTGTCCATTACTGGGGTCTAACTCATTGGATTTCTGTAGGTAGTGGATGGCACGAGTCTCGCGGGTCTGCTTGTCCCCAAACTGTTCCTGGGTGTGGTACAGCCAACCTGTCAACAAGCAATTCTGTAACATCAGTCTAAAGTCATGTACAATTTTGTTTAAACACTGCACTCAGCAATAATCCAGCTATATGGCATAGGTCTGTAAATAATCAAGTCCAGATCAGGCAATCCAGTGATTCACTTCCTGAGCATCAACCTATGTCATTGCTTTATGATGACCCGTGTGAACCAAGTTCACGAGTCTGATCAACCGATCCAGTTACTCGCCTTATATGACAATCATGGGTTGCTGAAAAAAATGGATCATCAAGGGTACCATGTGCAATGAGACGAGGTGAGCTGATATGGGGTTTAATGACATTCATAATTACTGTTCTTATATAGTAATGTGCAGGTATGTATTACAAAATTACAAATTGTTACTCCATGCAGTCCAGTCTTTGTTTTATCCTTTCTGCCTAATTGTTACTCCATGCCGTCAAGTCTTTGTTTATCCTTTCTGCCTAATTGCTACTCCATGCCATCCAGTCCTTGTTTCATCCTTTCTGTCAATTGTTACTCCATGCCGCCAAATCCTTCTTTTATCCTTTCTGTCAAATTGCTACTCCATGCCGACCAGGCCTTGTTTTATCCTTTCTGTCAATTGTTACTCCATGCCGTCAAATCCTTGTTTTATCCTTTCTGTCAAATTGTTACTCCATGCAGTCAAATCCTTGTTTTATCCTTTCTGTCAAATTGTTACTCCATGCAAATTGTTACTCCATGCCCAGGCCTTGTTTTATCCTTTCTTTCAAATTGTTACTCCATGCCGACCAGGCCTTGTTTTATCCTTTCTGCCAAAGTACCATCTTTTGGTAAGACAAAACCAGGGGCTCAAACCATTGTCCTTAAACTCTCCTGGCTGACACTGCATCTTCTTGGCTAGTAGCCTTTAAGTTTACTAAAACCATCCATAAAAGTAATAAGATTGTGACATTATGTTCACATTGATTAAATGACACTTTGTATATAAATCTCAAATTCTCGCAGCTGTAGACAAAAGAATTCAAAGGGGGAACATTTATGGATGGAAACTTTATATTATATGGAACCAATATTTTGGAGGAGTAAGTGAGTGAGTGAATTGGGTTTTACGACGCTTTTAGCAATATTCCAGCAATATCACGGCACCAACATCAGAAATGGGCTTCACACATTGTACTCATGCAGGGAATCAAACCCAGGTCTTCAGCGTGACAAGTGAACACTTTAACCACTAGGCTACCCCACCACCCCTTATGGGAAAACAAACCTACACTTGAAGAGTAAGAATATACACTGAAATATTGTGTTCCTTATATTAATGAAGCCAACATCAACAAATTTTCAATTTTCATTAGTGCCACTTCTATGTATCATTCAAAGACCATAAAAATTCATCACACGATTGTTAAAGAGTGTTCACATAAAAAGCCTAAGTAGCCAAAAGACAGCCTGTACCTGTCAAACCTTGACTGAGAACACCACCAGCCATAACAGTACACATCACACAATCAGCTTAGTATCAAAAAGAAGCTGAACCATAATAAAGGAAACCGTCTGATAGTGCTATTACATCAAAAGATAATAATTACTTGGTCGGTCTATTCAAATATGCCCCGGACAAACAAAATATTGATCTGAAAAAACATTGCCACTGCTTCCTCTCCCCTCAACAACCATGAAAAAAATCAGAAAAAATGAAATCTTCATAAAGAAACAAAGCAAATAATTACAACAAAAAGTAAAAAAATATACTCAACATGAAAGCATCAAAAATTTCACAACCACATCAGTATCTCAGTAACACAAAACCTACCAATTATGTGTATAAATGTGAACACAAATAAAAATCCCATAAAAAACAATATTACACTTATTCACTCCCATACGTTTCAGTTGACTGAACACAAATGTAAAATCACACATTAATCCGATGTCCTGCCTACCTCGGACCTTCCTCTGTCACTACTCGTCATTCCTCAGCCATACCAGCATCACGCAACCCAATTCCTAATCTTCAGCCTGTCTTTGGTGAAGAGCTGTTAACATGCTCCAAGCACCGACTACCATTGTCACCTACATCCCAAGTAGCCAGCCTATATAGCTGACTGACCTATCCCACCCATCTCCCCACACTGTCGTGATCAGACCCAGATCAATACCAGATCACAAGTAACAAGTAGGTCCCAATTTCTTCACCTGGCTCTAGGCAAGGTCACATGACTACTGATTGACAGCCTGGTGGGGTCAGACTCACTGCACCAGCTTCAGTAGGAAACACAGGTTATTACGGACGTTATATCACGTAAGTGTACCAGACCCGTCATGGCCCTGTTATACAGGCCACAGTTTTTATAACAGGTGTGCATGTAATTCTACTACACTGTGAATATTGTCTAGACACACTCAAGCAAACAACAGGCTGACTTTACCACAGATTAAAATGCAGTCAGTCACCTTTCAAAAGGGAACAAAAACTCTAAAGCTAGGGTACACAATACATCCTAATGAACAGAAATATAAACAATTTTCACAAACACGAAATCTCACGAACTATCTGCACCTACATTGACCAAATTTACTGGCAACTGACACAGCAGCAGCATCAAAACAATCTTGGGGCTTCCCAACCCGGAAAGAATGAAATCCTACCTGTGGTAAAAAGAAAGAGACAGAGTCTGTGTCTGTGGCATATATCTAATCCTTGAGGTTTAATCAACAACTGACCCAGATCCCTACAGACAAGTAGGTCAAAATGACCATGCTGTTATATCGGTGACATCTATGTAATATAAACAATGGTACCAACATGCAATTTCACAATTCAATTCTGTACATCATCACTGATAAAACGGGATTATTTTCAAACATTTTTTTATTTTTGCATACATTTACTTTGTCTGAAACTTGTGAATGAGTGCGTGAGTTTGGTTTACGCCGCTTTTAGCAAAATTCCAGCAATATCATGGCAGGGGACACCAGAAATGAGCTTCACACATTGTACCCATGTGGGGAATCGAACCTGGATCTTCGGCATAGCGAGCGAACGCTTTAATCTCTTGTCCAATTATTTATAGTGAGTGGATGAGTTTTACGCCGCTTTTATCAATATTCCAGCAATATCACGGCAGGGGACACCAAAAATGGGCTTCACACACTGTACTCGAACCAGGGTCTGAGGCGTGATGAGTGAACACTTTAACCACTAGGCTACCTCACCACCCTCTAAATTATTTCTATGAAATGGTGTCAACTAATTCAGAGGCTACATGTAAACAGAAAACAACCACCACAAAATGTCCCAGCTACTGAAACGTCATACCACAAGAATGGATTGCTACCTACCAACCATATTGGCTCTGAAGACCAATTTGAACCCAGATTTTCAGCAATAGGAGACAGAGTAATCAAATCAAATAATGATGGCCTGTATTTACTTTTCATTCATTTCCCAGGATTCAGACTGCATCAGGATACAAGTGTTTCATACAAGTATATGTTGCCACAGAGGGAAACACAGAAACAACTCACCTTCAAAGATGTCCGTGAATAAACAACACAACAGTATCCCATCAACACCTTCTCAGATACAACACAGGGAAAGAATGAGGTCATACTGACCCAGTTTCACAGGTCTAGCCATTTTGTGATCGCCAAAAGTCTCCCATCAATCAATCAGCTCATATTGTTGCTCTCTGATCAATATTTCCTCGACAGAATGAAATTAGGTCGCTTTGACCTATATGCATTCAGAATCAGGTCAATCAGCCAACAACTAGGGCAAAGCAGTGAGGATGTCCTGGAGGAATAGTATTCCTTGTGGAATACTGGGGTTATCTGAACTTATCACACTCTACCCTCAATACTAAACCATGAAACCATCTCAAATTAACTCAAGGAAAGTACTACTTTTGACAGTGATGGTGAAATATTTAAGTCATGTACTGTATTTACTCTAATAAGCACCTGGGCGCTTAGTTGTTCTACAGTCTTCCAGGCTTGGCGTTTAATAGAGGTCTGGCGTTTATTGCGCTTATTGGAACTAATTAATTATATCTTAACCTGCTGGTTTACCCACAGCCCTTACTAGAGGAAATACGGTATCTTTCCCACTACTTGTAATAAGGGCTGTTACGATTGACTTGTGTATTTGGTGAATCAAACCAAATACTTTTATGAATTCAATTCAATATTCACGATCACTAAAATGTTTTAGTCATGATTTTTAAAAAGGAGTGTTTCACTTGTATTTGAGTGTTTTATCGAAGCGAGATATGTTAAATGGAGTGAGTGAGTGAGTTTAGTTTTACGCCGCACTAAACGATATTCCAGCTATATGGCAGCGGTCTGTTAACTGGAACATATCCACAGGCAGGATAAGAGTCAACACTCTCAAATATTTAATTTGACAGTAAGTGGTCACTGGTCATTGTCGTGGTACACTGTCAATATGGTCAAAACATGTCACAGACTGTATTTTGTTATTGTTTCACTAAATATACTGAATAAAACATCAGCTGATGACTTGTTATTGTATTCACTAACCAAAATTTGTATCGTATTCCTCTAATAAGCACCCTGGCACTTCCAGACCTGGCATTTATTTGAGGCCCAGCGCTTATTGGAGACCCGACGCTTATTGTGCTTACTGGCTGTACCATAAATAATTGTTAGTGAGCGTTACATCAAAGTTAGGGACCATGCCAACCAAGGGAGAATTCATTTATCGAAAAATGTACCCAGTGCTTATTAGAGACCCAATGCTTATTAGAGACCCGCTGCTTTACCCCTGGCGCTTATTGGAAACTCAATGCTTATAAGAGGAAATACGGTATTCAGTGCCCAGTATTTGTGATGTGTAACTTGTTCGCCTCACAGTGTCATTGCAGAGTCATTGCAGCTAGGGCTGGCTGAGCCGATAATTATCAGAAATATCATCGATGGGGACGAATAGTATTGATATGAAAATTTTGTGCTTAATAATATTGTACATCAACAAGCCTCTTGATTTTCAGTAATGCTGTAAGTTAAGTCCTTGTATAATGTCTGTTTCTAAATTATGTTCAAGGCAGTGTGTGTTAGTACTCCAAGCATAAAACTTATCACCACTCACCAATGATGTGAAATGGGTTGATTTTTGTCAGACTTTGAGGGTCATTTTTGCTGTTAATACCATTTATTGATAATTGATCGATACTCGGTTAACAGTTATCAATCTCTGTGATTTATGTCGATAGCCAGCCCCAGAAGCAGCCCTACATGTCACTGAGCATTCAAATGAGATTGGGGGCAGCTATGAGGCTGACTACATCACGTAGGGCTTCTAGAGTGATTATACCATGCCCATATTCTGCAGTTCAAGGTTTTGCTTTCATCTATTGGCTTACATACACATTGTAACTAAGCAACAGTACTGCCAAAGGGAATTCTTTACATAGCTCCTTGACCATTCTGTACTTGTACAAAATGAATGATGATTATTGAAGCAAACCAAGCACAAATAAAATAGTTTCACTTCTGAGGTTATTGAGGATCAAAATGGGGCCAAATTTACGACCTGGGCCTCCTTTCACAAAGCGCTAAGGTGATCATAAGTCACTAAGGTAACCTTAGTACAATGCTACAGAATGGGAGTTAAGATTAACCTTAGTAAAGGTTGCTTCGTGAAAGGAGCCCCTGTTAGACAAAAAATGTAAATGTGAAAAGAAAATAGCAAAAATGAAAGTTAAACCTGAAACACAAAGACCAGGTCAGTTCCTAACCTAACACAGATCATATTCACATAATTCAAAAGAGCAGAAAAAACATTCATGATTTCTAGACAGTCCTAAAAATCCCAAATCCCACTATACTTGATCTCATAATTATGTCACATGAATACAAATTACAGCTACGAATACCTACAAACATCATGTGACTACTGTATGAAGTGAATACAACAGCCTACAAACAACGCTCCACTCCCACGGAAAACATCGGAGTTGGTTTCCAGGCCACAATATTCCTCCAGTAATTACATGACATTTCTGTGACTAGGCGAGTTGACATGACACTGACAATCCCTTGTTTATCTCATACTTATAACACAGCAGGATAAACATGTTTATCTCACCCAGGCCAAGCTGACCTGTACCAGGAAGTGATATTAGGAAGTGATATCGCTCTGGCACTACCAACCGACTGGTGTCGTTACGGCTGTGGAAGGAACACAATGGTCACTGTAATATGATAGTATTTCAGACAACCATAAGAAAAGAACACTGCATTATTTATAAACCTGACTTAATATTTAGTCACGGATATTTTTTACCTGCGTCATGTCAATTCTTCCAAACTGCCCGCCCAGAAAAGGAAGTGTCTCGGATAAAATGGAGATGTCATGCAGGGATTGGGAAAGGCAGGGGCCATGGGACATTTTGCACATTAGAATAGAAAATGGCCCATTAAGATCTTGAACTTTACTATTGATACAAGATTTGGGCCCATTCCAAATTCAGACAATGGCTAATAATCCTGAAAATGGCCCATTGTCAGAGTTCTCTATCCCAATCCCTAGTCATGTCAGCTGAAACTAGTCTGTCATAACTGAATATCGCAAGTACACAATACTTCCTTTTTAATCTTATGGACAATATGATTCTGATCACTTGATGGCTTGGACTATATGTGTGATTGGGTTTTTATATGGCAGTGAGCTGCCAGTGTCTACCTGTGACAAGACAGCTTGCAAATAATTGAAAAACATATAAATGTGTGTCCATTATACACAAATGTAGAGTGAGTGAGTGTGTTTGGTTTTATGCCACTTTTAGCAATATTCCAGCAATATCACAGCAGGGGACACCAAAAATGGGCCAAACATAGTACCCATGTGGGGAATTGAATCCTCGCCTTGGCATGATGAATGAAAGCTTTAACCACTAGGCTACCCCACAAATGTCGAGAATGGACACAAATCCCCATATACAGCAACCGGAGAAACAGACAAAAATAGAAAGAGCCATGTGGGAATGAAACCTGGGTCTTCAGGGTGAAGAGCAGACGCTTTACCCATTAGGCTACCCCACCACACTGATGGAATGTTTTAAGTGGTGGCCACTGGAAAACTGTCCAATAGGCTTGGAATAGACTGTCCAAGGAAACACCATGCCTCCCCTCCCCAACCAAATGGAGTCTCCTTTAATTTCAAACACAAACAAACACACACACACACACACACACACACACACCACCACACACCACACACACACACCACACACTCCCCCAACAAACAGTTACAATCTCATGCGAAACTGAGACTTTGTCTAAAAGTAAGGATGCCCTTATTTATTACCTATGAGGATGAAAATATCGGGGTTAATATTTTTCGAACGATGCCCTAGGGCAAAATATCACTTGCAATGCTTTGACGTCACGTTTCTTCTCTGACGTTGCATTTTACATGCGGCGACGGCGGATAGCCCGCCAATGTTTAAAGTAGATTTGGGTTTATTTTCCTCAATTTGACGACTTTGGTAATAAACAGAATATTATATTCATGCCCATATCATACTATGTTTACACTCGTGCCTAAATATCATTATATCCTTCGCTCTCGCTCGGGAAACAACAACATATAGGTCGTAAACATAGTATGGCATGGGCACTCATATAATATCCTCTATTTATTCAACATTGATCAAGATAATAAATCTCTGACACATGTTCCACTTGATAACCAATAAGGGAGGGAAACAAAACATTGTTGCTTTAGACTACGACAGAAAGTAGACAGAAAGTAATGCGTTGACTTTTGACACAACCCCTAACATGAGAACTGGGGAAAACAGTCTATGTAAACCCACTATCACTGTAATCATCTCAAGGCTGCAGCCATTACCATTATGAAGTTATTTGTCACACAAGCAGTATCATTTTGATCATGTCAACCTTGAGCTTGGCAAAACGCTCAGTCATAACAAAGCAACAATAACAAGGTTTCTTAGGTTTCTGACATATTCTCCATAAGCATGATTAACACATTTTTGGATATATTTTCTGAAACAAAAGTTAAAGATTTTGCTTTTTTTAGAAATTATTTTGTGGATGTTATCATTGAAAAAACTTGTCCGTGTTCACTTGAGACGAAAAGAAAAATGGCAGAATAATCAACAACAACTCGTCACTACAAACATTCACCAGTCTCAAGACTAAAGGACTAACTGCCATAGGTCCACTCTTCCTTGCAAGAAGAGCTGACGAAAACGACAGATAATCAGGAATATCGTCAATGGGAGAAACTATCAGTGATAAACGATGTTAAAATTGTCACCAATAATATGTTATATCTACTATTGTAATGAAAGAAAGTTTTAAATTACCATTAGCACACTCATCCTAAGACTTAACACAATCTGCCCATCATGTTTCACAGATTGTGGTGGCCCCCTGCCGTGATATTACTGGAATATTGCTAAAAGCGGCGTAAAACCAAACTCAGTCAGTCTCAGATTGTGAATACGCCACTCACTTCTTGTTTTCACAAATCCATGCAGAATTGTGTCCCCTCACTAACCATGTATATAACAAAAAGCAGTGCCCAACAACATATTTTTCATCCCAGAAATGGGCTTAACACATTGTACCCATGTGGGGAATCGATCTCGGGTCTTCGGCGTGACGAGCGAACACCTTAACCACTAGGTTACCCCACCGCCCCGAGTTGAAAGGAATGGAGCGAAGTGGGAGCAGGAGAGGGAGTAGAGCGGGAGTGGAGAGAAACGGAGTGGAGTGGAGTAGCGCGGGACACCAGAATTGGGTTTCACACACTGTACCCATGTAGGGAATCAAACCCTGGTCTTCAGTGCGACAAATGAACACTTTAACCACAACTCTATCCAGCTCTTCCTGCTGACACAGGGATAATCATGGCATTGATTTGTGTTATCTGCCAGAGTTTATCAACTACCCTCATCAATATATCAATTTGACACTCCAATTGCAATTGTCTACATAATCTCTGATAGCTGCGCAGGTCAACAGACCCATGGAATGACCTGTTAAACACATGACCTGTCATTAAGAACACCCTAACACATGCTGCACTACAAAACGTTTTCAAGACCTACCTAGCTGTCTTAAAGCTGTGGCTTTCACAGTGCTCTTGATGTCCTCGAGCTGTGAACTGTTCATAGGATTCCTTCGCTTGATTCACCTTCCCCTGTACCTCCAGCAAGTGTGCAATGTGTAGGCGAACTGGAAAGAAGCGAAGAAGCAATTCATACAACAGTAGGAATAAACACATTGAAGAACTGGTTGTCATGGACACTCAAGATGGTACATACTAGATTGTATCAGGTTTAATGATTGTATTGGGTATCATGCCAGTACTAGGTCTCATGAAAGTAACTGGTCACATGATGGCACTGGTTTTTTCATGGTGATACGAGACCCCACGATGGGACTAGACCTCATGATGGTACAATACCTCGTGATGTTACAAGGTCTGATGATAGTAAGAGGTCACATGATGGCACTAATTGTTCCTGGTGATACGAGAACCCATGATGGTACCCATGAACGTACAAGACCTTGTGATGGCACGAAGTCTCATGATAGTAAGAGTTCACATAATGGCACTGGTTTTCATAACACTGGTACAAGGTCTGACGGTTGACGGTATTACGATGGTATTACATCTCCTGATGATTACAGATCTTGTTACTATACAAGATCTCCAAATGGTACTAAGTTCCATGACGGTACAAAGTATCACATTGGTACAAGGTTACATGAAAACACATTTTGGAAAAAGGAAACAATTATGCACAAAAACCCAACAAAATCAAGGGGAGTAACTCTGAACCAAGCAAAGCAATTTCCCTCTCAAATAATAAACTTCAAACAAGTACAACCAGGAATGTCCCGATTAGATCTGAACAATTATTTAACAAAAGCTATCATGCTGTTCACTATGAATGTGTAAAACGCACAATACAATCCAAAAACAGCTAATAAAAGTGTTTTCTTTCCACACAAAAAGGCCTAATATTCAACAAACCCCTAGATACAGAGGTAACGCAGCCCGTACTTTTATAAAAGCAAATGTTATAAAGTCCCAACCCACACCACTCCTGAATCAAAGTGAATATGTCTTCGATAAGTTTACAGAAAAACTCATAGCTAAGGGACATTACTTCTGAATTTTGTTGTGATCAAAGGGAACTATTTTCCACCATCTCTTCCTCCATTGAGGATGGTCTAATGTCAGCAGTCTCCAGCACTTCACAAGTGGCTGCCTGGCCCATCCTCTCTGTATTCATCAATGTTTCTCAGAAACACCTGCTTCATCTGGGTAGGGCTTAGAGGGTATAGTACCTATCATCTCAGGATAGGATTGGGTCCTTCATCACAAGGTTATCCACTAAAAGGAGACATAACTAAACACTGTTTGAAGTAATAAAGTTCACTGATGCTTATTTAGAGCTGAGGATTAATTTTATAAAATGAAGATAAATCTAACAATTTAACAAAAATCTTTAATTACTAAATTAATAGTCTACCAATTTATATGTTTATAACCACACATGGTGGAACTTAAGGAGTCCCATGCCACACTTTCAACAAGTTATGGTTGCAAGGTACTTATAGAACACGATTTATACTGCCTGTACAACTATAGGGGGGCGGAGGGTTGGCTAGTGGTTAAAGTTCACTCGTTACGCCAAAGATCTGGATTCAATTCTCCACATGGGTACGATGTGTGAAGCCCATTTCTGGTGTTCCCTGCCGTGATATTGCTGTAATATTGCAAAAAGTGGCGTAAAACTACACTCACTGACTCATCAACTATGAGTGAGTGAGTGAGTGAGTGAGTGAGTTTAGTTTTACGCCGCACTCAGCAATATCCCAGCTACATGGTGGCGGTCTGTAAATAATCGAGTCTGGACCAGACAATCCAGTGATCAACAGCATGAGCTTCGATCTGCGCAATTGTGTCAACCAAGTCAGCGAAACTGACCACCCGATCTCGTTAGTCGCCTCTTACGACAAGCATAGTTGCCTTTTTATGGCAAGCACATGGGTTGCTTAAGACCTATTCTACCCCAGATCTTCATGGGTCCGCCAACTATGAAACTATTACACAATACCACACAAAATACCAGTATTAAAGTACTGTCGGAAATAGAAAAGAAACTGTTTTGAGGCTGTTACTCTCTATCCCTAAAATTTACACAACTGCAAACAGCATATGTCGAAATAACCCACATCGGCCTAACTGGGCGTTCAGTGGGACGCGTAATAGGATATCCAGAAAAGCATGTTTACTTGTAACTTCGGGCAAACTTAGAAAAAATATGAATAACTGCTGAAAACAATAGATCAGACTATAGATGGCAATTAGGTCGCTCAGCCAGGCATGACAACAGACTGTCGACTCACCTGGCATGAAATGCATGTGCTGCCTACAGGCACAAGGGGTCATCTCAAAGATATTTTGTGCTTTTCCATGTGTGTTGACTATGCCTCATCTATTGATTAACATCTTACGTGTCTTTCTTTCATAAAGTGTATGCTGAGATATGTAAAAAGAGTATGATACCTGATAACCATAGAAACGCAGTATATTAATGTCTCAAAATATATATGTGGCATGACCACCCAATTGCGAAGATTGACAGGACTGGATATTATTTGTAAATTGTTATGACATTCCATGTACTTCCCCAGTATAATTGCCCTAAAGGATTATCTTATCTTAGCTGATATCTCTATCCCCCAGCCCGACCCCAACGTCTTCGACACCCGTCCAGGTTTTGCTTATGAGATGATCCCTCCTATATGTTTCTTTTTATAGTGACAGTGAGACTGCATGGTAGCTACATCCTTAATAGTTTCAGCATGAAAGTTATTATTTTTTACGCCAGCTATCGTTTATAATGAAGCTACATCTAATTTCAAATTGGGCATTTAAAAAAGTGTCCTTTGTAATACAATATCGTCACACACTAATTTGCACAAAGCCATGGTCTGTTCCAAATAAATCGCTTCGACTTAGAAACAAAATGCATTACTCGTTTCTGCACTAATCTCTCCTCAGTAAAGTCCTTTTTCTACGTTTCCTATGTCCCAACCACTGAGACTGTAGTTAGGCCGAACTTAGTTTAACAGATATTTCACACTTGTACATATGAACTATATAAATTGTAGAGATAAATGAGAAAATACAGTTTTTTTTCTATTTCCGACAGTACTTTAATTATCTTATCTCCACCAGGCTCCTGTTTACATTTGACTACTCCTTTAATATTAACTACTACACAACCACCGACTACTACACAACCACCGACTACTACACAACCACCGTCCAATACTACTGCCATGGCTGCCGTATACTCTCAAAATCAACATCCATGTCAACATCTAAATCCACATTATCATCAGCATCTACCCTTAACATCAATATCAACATCAACAGCAAAATAAAATCTGTAGCTTCATCTCATCAACTCAGCTCTAGACGTAAACATCAACACCAACATCAACACCTACATCTACATGACCACTTCCTCCCACTGCTAAACCACACGAAAATATCTCTCCCCAACAACAGCCGAGTCTCGTTCCACTCCCATCATGCACAACACATCTGTTCCGGCCACCTATTGGATGGAAATGCAGTGTATTTTCCACAAGCATTATTCCAAATCTTCAAACCCCAAACTTCAAACAACATGTCCACAATCACAGCACCAAGTGCCATCGCCAGCCAATAATTAAAGGATTACAAAAACCGCCCAATAATACCCCAGGTCCAAGGACAGGACCCAGGTCAGCCCAAATCAGTGGATGGACAAAACAGGCTAAATACCCACTACATCAACCTCACAAGTCAGTGACCAATAAATCATGTAAAATGTACCAGTGAATAATAACCCAGTGAATAATAGCCCAGTGAATAATAACAATACTCACGTTCTCCCAGTACATTATAAATCAACACTACCAAAACTATCAATTTCCTCCCCAAGTCAAATCAAACACATGCCTAGCACCTGTCTTAGACTTATTTCTTCTGTCCATCCATCTGCTCATCAACCTGTCTATCCAACCAGCCCAACCATATACCCGATACATCTCCCATGGTTTTTCTACAGCAGCCCTGAAGCACAATGCTTTTCAGGTTTTCCAAATGAACAATAGTTTCCAATATCAGAAAAGCCCGCTTGACATTTTTATAGCAGCAATACTTAATTCACAGACCAAGGCCATAACAAATAAATTTATCCAAAAGAGGATCCGAAAATGAAGAACCAAAAAATTAATTTGTGTGAAAAAAAATGATTAATAAAAAACCTCTTGATACATTGTTTTATCAAGGAACAGTTACAAGTTCTTAGAGATAAGAGTCCTTTATTAAAATATTTTTTATTAAAAGATCATAAGGGGCAAGGAGATAATTAGAGGTTTCATATAAAAACCTGTCATTTATATGAATGAATCCTGGATTTTTTTCTTCTGCACAAAAGAGGATCAGCAATTAGGATGAGTGAGTAATCAATTGTTCAGGCAATTAATAATTTTACCACCATGAATTTGAAATCAAATCAGATAACCAGTTTATTGAATAACAAAGGCTTTTTGTCAAGTTTGTTGCTAGTGATTATGAGGCGGACAAATTCTTTTGTCAATTTCATTATCAAACAGCCGAAAGTATTAATTTGATGGTTTGGTTTTGTAGCCAGATCGGGTTCTGGCCTTCTGTTGTGGTTTTTGACATTTACCACTGTTGAAAGATAATGTTACTTGTAGTGTAAGATAACCACCTGACCTTTCCAATCAATAAATGACCCTTGATTATAATGGGAAACTGAAAGGAAAATTTATACATTTATGCCCTCACAGCTTATGCTTGATATTAATATCTCCATCTTAATTTCCTTTTCAAAATTTAGAGAGTTATAACAGAATTGTTTTAAATTGAAATCAAAGTTATGAATAAAAAATCTTCTACCATACTTACTTTCAACTTTCTCCAGAGAGCATTCGTTGGAATCTGTTAGTGCCAGTCGGAAATGCTGAAAAGAGACCAAAAGAATGTCAGGAATGTCCAATGTGAGAACTTAAACAATTTCTTGGTTCTAAAAATCGTTAAGAAACTTGACTATTTATTATTAATGTTTTTTCCGACACTGTCAGAAGGATGAAAGTTAGGGCCAATATGCATTGTTTGGATGGACAATAAATATCAGAGAGAAAAATCAGGAAGAAAGCCAAAAAATGTCTGAAAGAAATCACATTGCACACATTGTGTTTGGATTACTAACAAAACAGCCTCCTGAACGTTATGTAGAAGCAGCCGATAAATATAGTGAGTGAGTGAGTTTAGTTTTATGCCACTGTTTGCAATATTACACCAATATCACAGCGGGGGACACCAGAAATGGGCTTCACACATTGTGCCCATATGGGGAATCGAACCCATGTCTCCAGCGTGACGATCGAACACTTTAACCACTAGGCTACCCCACCGCCCCCCCATAAATATAGACATAGCTTAGTATATTGTGCAAGTAAATCAAAAGTAGTTTTCATCATACTTGTTGTTTGATTGTATCAATGACACAATTTTTAAATTGATATTCGTTAATAATTCTTCCCATCGAAGATATTTCAGATTATCGATTGTTTTTAGCCAGCCCAACCAGGAAGCATAATTATCATCTCATGTCATGAAGCAGTTGTGAGCATGATGTGAAGACTGACTCAAGGACGGCATCATATCAAGCCACTCTCACGATAATTATTCACATCTAATCACATGCAATGAAACAAACTAACATTAAAAAGATGTAAATGACACTTAGACTTGTGTAGCAACATTTATATAACGTCTCCACTATCACGATGATTTAGTATACAAAGTGCCCCAAGCCATTTCAACTAAATTTGGTTTAAGAGGTATGAATGCCACAAATCGCATATCACATAAATCACAATCATTTTATGAAGAATATCTTCAGGAAAACTGCACAAGCTATGAGTCAACTCTGACAATGAACATGTGCTCGAATCTAGAAATGATAAAACTTCAATAGAGCAAGCTAATGCCATCTTTCCTGAGTTATCTCCCTTGCTAAGACGAGGCCTAGCTATGCTATATTGTGTTACAGCTTTAGCCACATACAGAAACAAATGTATCCAATAAATGACATGTAGGCCTATAAAAGTTGGTAAGTCCAGATGGCTGCAGCCACAGAAGAGAGTCTGGACTCCTTGGTATTTTTACATGAAATAATCTTCTCTGACATTCTTTTACCTAACCAACAAACACCGATATGATGATATGATGTTCACTAACCTTGAAACACAATTATAGAACCAGGATTGAAATCACAAACAAAGGTTTCAAAGGGAAGTAACTCTGCACAGCAAATTGCACTGCTTTTCACAGGCCATCCCTGTGTGAGTCCTTCTTTGACTATGGTGAGTGAGTGTGTGAGTCCAAATTTGGCAATATTCAAATCAAACTGTTGTCATAATGGACATGACACACTGTATCCAAGTGGGAAACCCAGTGTTATGTGCTAAAATCAGGCATAATGGGACAAAAATCAGAAAAAAACAACACTTCCCATCTTCTGAAACAAACTGTTTTTGTGTTGTTGCAGTTCGGTGAAATATTGATCAAATGTGTTCTCTCATGCTATTACAAGAAACCTTTCAAATCCGAGTGGACAAATTGTCCCAGTGGCATCTAAATCCAACACTTAGTATGTATAGGACCATTATGAATAAATAACCGATGCCATTACATAATTTGGAAATATAACGCTATGTTTAATACAAAATATTTTGCAGTTTCTTGCAAAAAATACCAATGAAAAACATAGAAAATCCAAATTATTACAAAAAAAATATCTTTCAAACACTTCAAAATCAAATCAGCTTATATCCATCCCCAATGCTAAAGTTTGAAAGCATTTCAGCCAATAAAAAAGTGCCACTTTCGCCTAAGAAAGAAATATTCATCATTACAGGAGCCGCTTCTTCAGACAGCCTGTCCTCCAGCAGGTGCAAGGGGAATCACAAGAGACCAATTAGTATACCCCTCCTCCAAGAACATAATGCACATAAACAGTGGACAGTTCCTGCAGCTTGGTAGTTTGCTGGAATAACTTATGTTCAGTGGTTTTCTTTGATGTTTGAGTCCTGATTTCTACTAAATTATGCAAGGTGAACGGAGCCAATTGCATCAAATGTGTCACTTTGCCTTGATCGGTCTGGTGATGGAGTGAGAGTTCATGGCATCTTAATACAAATACTACAATACATCATGAATGTGTGAGGTAGGTTTCCTTCTGCTCGTTGCCCTGTCCCAGTAACATCACAAAAGGGGACGTCTTCATTGTGTAGAAGATGAATATCACTTCCTCTTAATTTGCCCATTATATTGTGAGTTAAGAAAAAAAAAAGTCCCAAGATATTATTCTGTATATCTCGATAGGGTGAAATTTTCTTTGTTAATGAGTACTGATGACAATGTTCTTATCCGTAAGTTGTCAACCATTATCTATCAAGCATTGTCTCTAAGAAATAAATATAATAATTCACAGAATGTATGTACTCATATTGTTATTTGTTACGATATGGTATGATGTGGTGCGATATGATATATGATATGATACATGGTGTAATATGACATGATGTAATATGGGGTGTTATGATATGATGTGATACGACAAAGTATGTGTAATGCGATGTTATATGACGTGATACATTTTGATGCGATATGACATTGTGATTTTACTATTTTCATTCTTTTCTATGATATTGTGTACAATGTTCTTGTATACCATGGGCCTGTGGCTTTCAGTATGAATAAAGATTGATTGAAAAGGGGACATCATTGAGGGGAACTGAACCCTAGTCTTCAGTGTGGTTAGCACAACACTGTTGTTTATGTGAGTGAGTGAGTGAGTGAGTGAGTGAGTGAGTGAGTGAGTGAGTGAGTGAGTGAGTGAGTGAGTGAGTGGGGTAAAGCACTCCTATAAGCATTTATCCAGCTACAGAACATCATTGTACCCATGTGGGATATCAAACCTGCGAAGACAGTATAATGAACGAAAGCTGAAACTACTGGGCTGTTGCTATGGAAGGAACTGACTGAGTTTGGTTTTTACGACGCTTTTAGCAATATTCCAGCAACATCATGGCGGGGGACACCAGAAATGGGCTTCACATATTGTGCCCATGTGGGGATTCGAACCCGGGTCTTCGGCGTGACGAGCCAACGCTTTAACCATTAGGCTACCCCACCGGCCCCTGTTGCTATGGAAGGAACTGAATCTGGTTTGTTGTTGCTATGGGGGAACTGAACCTAGGTTGTTGCTGTGGAGGCAACTCAAACTGGGTTGTCGTTATGTAGGGAACTGAACAACTGAACCTGGGTTGTTGCTATGGAGGGAACTGAACCTGGGTTGTTGCTATGGAGGAAACTGAACATGGGTTGCTGCTATGGAGGGAACTGAACCTGAGTTGTCGCTATGGAGAGAACTGAACCTGGGTTGTTGCTATGGAAAGAACTGAACCTGGGTTGTTGCTATGGAGGAAACTGAACCTGGGTTGTCGCTATGGAGAGAACTGAACCTGGGTTGTTGCTATGGAGGAAACTGAACCTGGGTTGTTGCTATGGAGGAAACTGAACCTGGATTGTTGCTATGGAGGAAACTGAACCTGGGTTGTTGTTATGGAGGAAAGTGAGCCTGGGTTGTTGCTATGGAGGAAACTGAACCTGGGTTGTTGCTATGGAGGAAACTGTGCCTGGGTTGTTGCTATGGAGGAAACTGAACCTGGGTTGTTGCTATGGAGGAAACTGAGCCTGGGTTGTTGCAATGGAGAGAACTGAATCTGAGTTGTTGCTATGGAAGGAACCATCCCGTGTCTTTGGCCAGAGATGCAGAAGCTTTTACCGTAAGTCCCTGAACCATGCTGCTGTGACAGATGCTACTGAATCTATGAGCAGCCATTCTTTTATATGTATTCCTCTTTCCTTCATTATTTTGCCCTATTTGCCCTATTTCCTTATTTACTACAGAAACATCTGAACATGTGTCCTGTGTATTAAACCCCCCAGTGGCATCCATGGATGTTACAGCCACATATCTTTGGAATGCATAAATAAACTTTTTACTCATCATCCATCAGGACATGTGAAATGCAAACTTCATCTTTTGTGTGGTGAGACCAAGGGAGATAACCCATAACAACCTGCCAGCACACCCAACCCTCTCGATGCACCATTGAAGTGCAGGCCTAAACAATTCAAGACTGGATTCAACGTTTATCATGCAATAACAGTTCATTAGTGCCAGAAGTTTTGTAGCTTATTAAACTTTTGGAACATAACCACGACAAAGCTTGTACTGACAAGCTGACTGGGATGCACCAGTGCTCCACAGGCATTTCCACTAAACAATCAGATGATTCCTACCACAGATGGGTACATGTGCAAAACCTAGACAAGTTAACCCACAGACAAGACAGATAGTAGCAGCTCAATTTTCAACTGAAGAAGCTAGTTAAAGTTAAAAACTGGTCATTCAATCCTGATCTGACACAGATTAAATTAATTGAACTTGTTTAGTTGTTTGCTTAGCAATATTCCAGCTATATGGTGGTGGTCTTAATCGGTCTGGACCAGACAATCCAGTGACTGACATCATTAGCAGCGAATGACCCAATTGGGATTCAATGACATGTGTCAACCAAGTCAGTGAGTCTGACAACCCGATCCCGTTAGTCGCCTCCAACGACAAGCATGGGTGGCTGAAGACCAATAATAATCCGGATCTTCATCGGTCTTAAATAAAAATTTAACCCTTTGGGTCTATTGTGCTCGCAATCAAGTTTCTTTGAGTGTAAGTCTGACTATGACTTCTACAAAATAGTCTGACTCAACTGAACACTTCATGTTGTTGAGTGAGTGGGTGAGTATAGTTTTACGCCGCACTCAGCAATATTACAGCTATATGGTGGCGGTCTGTAAATAATCGAGTCTGGACCAGACAAACCAGTG